ATCACATCTGAAGGACAGTTGGCAGATTTTCTCACCAAAGGCATTCCCAAGGCAAAACTTCAGCATGATACCAGCAAGCTTGGCATGATTGACATCTATGCTCAGCTTGAGGGGGAGTGTAGAGAAGATGGGCCGAATGGCCCATAGGTTGCTTATTCCTTCTTGTTATTTATGTTTCTTTTCTGTAATGTGCCTTGTTCTGGGTCCATCTTGTCAATATTAAGTTCTGTGTAAATTCTTGCCCAACTAAGGGCCTCCTTGTAATTATTCAAATATTTCTAATAAAACAGTGTTAGGGGGCTGAGAGAGTGTGAGTTCGAAATCCTCTTTTCAGACCCTCATTGCCGAACCCTCAACTCTCTTCTCTTCAGTTTTCTTCAGAGATGTTTGTTGTGGGAGTTTCCATTCACATACTTGGGGCTACCGACAAGTGCAAAGGCTTCAATCCCATTAACATGGCATCCGATGTTGGAAAAAATTGATTAGAGGTTAGCAGGTTGGAAAGGGAAGTATTTATCAATGGGGGGGTGAGAGTGTTTTATCCAATTTGCCGATCTACTACTTATTTTTGCTCAAAGTTCCTTCATTAGGGGCAAATCAATTGAGAAGATGCAAAGAGAATTTCTTTGGGGTATTAAAGGGGCTAAAAGAAGTATATCTTGTGAAATGGGATTGGGTTTGTAGGGATAAAAGGGAGGGAGGTTTGGGAATTAGAAGAGTGAAGTTGTTTAATAAGGCACTTTTGGGAAGTGGTTATGGAGATTTGAGATTGAAAGGGGTGCTTTGTGGAGAAGGGTATAATTTAAAGAGGCGCACCTAGGTGCACATGCGAGACACATTTTAGGGTATGCACCTCTTGCCTACGTTCCAGGTACAACACTTTCAAAAGGTGTGTGCTTGGTACGCCCAGGTGTGCACCTTGTGCTTCTGCCCAAGTGAGCCTCTTTTGAAAATTTGTGCATGCTTTTTCTTTTTTCTTTTTTTTTTTAATTTTTTATGTTAGCAGTTGGGACGGGGGCATCACCCTGACCTCTGAACAAGCCCCTCGAGGCAAAGCCCAAACAAGTCCATATCAAGGTCTTAAATTCTTAATCCCTATAGAAAAAGGTTTTGAAACTATAAGCGTCTTTCAAAAATATCTTATTAGGATGAATGAATGAGCAACATTAGCAAATATGGGGCTTTCGAAAACCTTTTATTATAGGGATTAAGAATTCAAGACTTTGATATGGACTTGTTTGGGCTTGCCTCGAGGGGCTTGGTACAATGGCCACTTGTAGAATCGGGAATTCATCATGTTTAACATCACATTAGCTATTTGAAGTAATGCAATTGGAAAAAATTGAAGAGATTAAGAGTTTATATGCTTGAATATGTTTTATATGCTATGCTTGATTTTATTTTAAAATTTTCATTTTAAATATGTTCTACATGTTATGCTTATATATTTTAATTTGGGATAATAGGCTTTTTAAAACATTTATTCTAAAATTTAAGTTTATATTTTTAATTAATATTGTGTTTAATATTTTTAATAAGTTGCATTTTTTTTTATTTTTAGCATTTGTTTTTTGCATTTATGCACCTTGCCTCAAAAAGGCACGTTCCTCACCTTGTGCCTCGGCACAAAATGGCCCTTGCGCTTTTTTGTTTTTGCGCCTTGCACTTTTAAAGCACTAGAAGGGCAGTGTTTTGTAAATATGGTGTGGTTGGGTTCGGTTGGCATACCAATTACCTAGGAGGTGGAGTCTTCTTATGAAGTATGTGTTTTGGAAAGGAGTAATGAGCTTTTTCAAGCAGCTTTTCTTGATTTTGTTTCCTTCAAGGTTGGGGATGGTTCAACGTTAAAATTTTGGGAAGACGAATGTAATTTTGAGAGCAATCCACACATTCCGTAAACTGTAAATCCAAAAAGGGGTCTTCTGGATTTTGGACACCATACCGCCCATCCTTGAATTACATCAAAGTTTTCGCAATAGAGGTGTTCTTCCTGCTTAAGAATACAAAAATTTATGGTTTAACCAAAAAATTTTGTCCAAGAGATATCTCAATGTGATCCCTTCTGTCACCTTAGTTTGATAATTTTTTTTGATCAGCAAAGGTTAGGTTCATTATATTGACTTGAAAAGTACGGGTGATTAATACAACTTGATTGACCAAAATGCCAATCCCCTCTAGCAAACCCAAATTACAAGGATGACCAAAACAAATTCTGCCTCATAACCCCTTGTTTGGCTAATGAGTCAGCTAACCTATTTGCACTCCTCCTAACCCACTTGAATTCGACCTCTATTTTCTCTTGCAATCTTTTCCTCTTCTCTCAGCACATGCTGAAGGGTCAAAGGAATATGCCTGTTGGATTTTGCCCAAGGGATGACTACCTGTGAGTCTCCTTCTGCCTCATTCTGAATTCCAGCTATTTAGCTAGCCTGAGAGCTGAGACCTTGCAATAGGGCCATCAGTTCAGCCTTCAAGGAATTTCCCCACCCAATTGGCCCTGAGAACATTGCTACAGTCCTCTTCTCTGAATCTCTTAAGACCCCTCCTATTCCAGCCATACCCGGGTTTCCAAGGGAGCTCCCATCGAAATTCAATTTCACTCTTTTACCTGCTGGGGATTTCCAATCCAATGTGATTCTGTCTTTTACTCTTGACGATTATGCTATTTCAGCCCAAGCCCTTGAGAAGTCAGCCCCACCTTTGTTTGATAATTTACAAGGGAGACATTGAGGATATCATCCACAGCATAGGATGGGAAAATTGGAAGGGTATGTGATGGGAGAATTCCGTGTTGGCTAAAAGGAAGATTTTGTAAAATGGTTGTAAGGCCAATGATCTAGTATGGAGTAGAGTGTTGGGCAGTTTAGAAACAACATGCCCAAAAAATAAGTGGTAGAAACATGAATTTTGAGATGGATGAGTGGGAAAACTAGAAAGGGTAGGATCATAAATGAATTCATTTGAAACTTGGTCTTATGATAATGGTTTTGTAATGTCTTTAACTAGATGTACAGATTTTTTTTGTAAGGGCTTGCTCTCTTGGTCCTCTGTTTGTATGGCTACAACCTACAAGGACTTATTTGAAGGAATCTGGAAGTAGCTCCAAGCCTCCAATACGTAATAAAATGAAGGAAAGTAGACTAAAACGGTTTGGGCATGTGCAGAATAACCACCTACAGCACCAATAAGTAGTGATCTGTTACAGGTTGAAGGGGCTTGAAGAACCAGGGTCAGGCCAAAAAAGGACATGGGTTGAATAGTGAGAAATGATATACGGGCCCATAGTTTAAAAGTGGATATGGCACTGAACAGTACAGAATAGTGGAACGGGATTCATGGATCTGATACTTTGCAGGCATCTAGGATTTCTTGATGCTCATTTCCTATTGATATTATCTTAATTGCCTTTTATTCATATGTATACTGGTTTTCTTTATGTTTTTCCATTTCATGCTGTTCCAGATTTGCTGCTCCCTCCGACCAATGTTTATTTGGTCCTTCCTATTATTAGATATTGATTGAAGAGTGGTGATGTAGTGGGTGCTTATGTCTTGTTTATGTAACTTCGTCATCTCATTATCTTTCCTTTTCCTTGTATATCATGCATTTGTTTTTTGATAAGATATAGAAATTTTATTGAAATTAAAGAATAAAAATGGGAAAGGTACAAGGTGGAAACTTCCACCAAAGAGGTGCAAGCTGCAGCATCAAGGAGTAAAAGGCAAATTACAACTGTGCCTAAAGTAACTGATTCTTGTGTATCCCTTGCTTAGCTAAACAGTCTGCCACCCCATTGGCCGATCTTCTTTCCCAATGAAACCTTACTTCAATGCTTGTGGTTAGCCATTTAAATCTTTGCAAAGCCCCCCCTAAAGGACAAAGGGACTTTCTCTGGTTCCCTTAGCCACCTGATTACCAGTTTAGAGTCACCTTCAACTAGCAATCTATCAAAGCCCAACTTTCTAGCAAGGTCCACTCCCTGTAACCAAGGTTCAGAGTATCAGCCCGTATCCGCCGATACGTATCGTTCCGGGACCCCTCCGATACGCCCCTACAGTGGGTGTATTGGGGGTCTGACCGGTTCAGGGGGTGGAGGATCTCTAAACCAGCCCCCCTGAACCGGTTTTGAAAAAAAAAAAGTAAAAAAAAAAAGGTATCGATTCGCCCGGCGTATTGGGCTTATTGATATTTTGAACCTTGCCTGTAAGACTGCAAGGACTTCCATATTCACAGCATCCCTACTCCAATGGGACCCAAGAGTAAAGCCAACCCCCCCACCACCACCACCAGAGGGACCTGGATTGCCTAAGCTGCATCCATCAAATTTATGGCATACATTTGTCTTCAAACTGATTTTTTCTGTTTTTTGGTCCTGGATTCACGAGATTTTAAATTTGTTCTTAAGTTCCAAATTTAGTCAAATAACTCTGATATGGTGTATCAAGAAACTTCATTGAATAGAAGTCACTCATTTTTGTGATTCTCAGCTGCTTGCAGAGGCTACAAAACAAATATGTGGTTCTGTGATGGGAGATAATGAGGTTTGGAATACAGACAAGGATCCTGATGCAATTGGTTCATCTGAAACAGTGGTGAATGACAATAACATCCCTGAGTGGGCACAACTGCTGGAACCTGTCAGAAAGTTGCCAACAAATGTGGGAACCAGGATTAGAAAGTGTATATATGATGCCTTGGAGAAAGGTCCACCTGAATGGGCAAAAAAAATATTGGAGCATTCAATCAGTAAGGAAGTTTATAAGGGCAATGCATCCGGACCTACCAAGGTACTTTTTGATAATGAAATTTATGTTCTGCTGGGCCATTCATGAAAACTGTGTTGTATTAAGAAATGTTAAATATATGTTTCATTTAATATGGCACATATTGGTAGATGTGCCAACTAAATTCTGTCAATTTGCTTTTCATGTTGTAGATTAGAACTTGGTGCCTAGATGTCCTCATGAATGCATGTTTCTGGACATGGGCATGCATGCATGTTTCAGTTTATAGCTTCTCTGATTTTATGGAGTAATTATTTACATGGCATGTAGAAAAGCAAAGAATTGGAGTATTAATTGTTTGTAAGAGACAGAAGCATGTCAAGAATTGGACCATGATTGCTGCATGTCCTTATGAGTTATGATTCCATGTTTTGTTTCTAGACATTGCCATGTTGCATGCATGTATTCATGTCTTTCACATGGGATGTAGAAAAACAAGGAATTAGAATTAATTGGTTTCTTTCAGAAGAGACATTGGATGGGCCAGGTTCACCTTGGTAATCCTAAAATGGTAATTGATTTGCAGGTGTGTTTTAGTGGGAATTTTTGTGGTGTCAAGAGTGCATCCTTCAACTCAACTCCATGGTTTCCTTAGATTCTGGACCTTCTTAACTCTGGATCCTTTGCAACCCTTACCCTATGCTAGCTTGACCATGGGCTTTCCTTTGTTTCATAATCTTCAATTTTATAGTGAACTAAAAACTTTGAACTTTTATTGTGATAGGATATGGCATGATAAAGTATGACTACAAGGCGACAATTTTCATAATTAAATGGAGGAAATATAAATTTCTTCCAATACAAAACATGACATTTTTTTTTGTTGAACAATTATGATGGCCATTCCATTATTTAAACTAGAGTGAACTTCATGTTTGGAGTTTAAATTCTAGAAAATAACATAACAGTACTTAGTGTGGTACTGTTCTTTTTTTCTCTCTCTTTTTTTTTTGTGGGCTGAGCTTGGTTCTCATTTGGTTGATTAATTATGTGGTTGGTGTTCTTGTTGTTGTGGTTATTCTAACTTTTACCATTATCCATATTTACATTTTGTGATTTCGTGTTCTCTTTGCAAAATCTAACTTGGAGTGAAAATATATTTGTTCTTCCTGGTCTATTCAACTACAACATAGAATCTAAACCGAACTGCATGACAGAACTCAAATCAACTATGCCTTGTCCCAAGTCCCAACTATATGGGGTCAGTTAATGGGAGGGGTGCAACTTGGGAGGTCTCAGGTTGAGAAATTATCAAAATATGAATGGGTCTGGCCCGAAAGCCCAGGCCTGACACAGTGTAAATTGCTCCAATTGGGTACCCAAGTTGCAGCCCCAGTTATGGGCCTTAAGTCATTTCTCACTACTTGATTGTTCCATGCAAACATGTATTTTTTCACTGAATGGTTCTTACTATTTCATTTCTCTTTTTTATTTTTGAGAGGCCAACAAAGTATGATACCCGGATACCTATACAAGGGTGCCATATAATTTTGGATACTTTAATTTTTAGTGTCAATTTCATATCTGATGACATATTCAGTTGTGCCCTTTCTGTGTCCGGTTAACATAGCCCACAATGCCATTTTTGGAGACAATCCCTTCAATGATGAAGGCCTGGGTAACTCCAAAAGCATCTGTTAGAGTCAGCTAATTCAGATGCCCTTATACTTGAGTTTTTAGTGTCAATTTCATATCTGATGCGAGATCCAGTTGTGTCCTTCCTGTGTCTGGGTAACATAGCCCACAAGGCCATTTTTGGAGACAATCCCTTCAATGATGAAGGCCTGGGTAACTCCAAAAGCATTTGTCAGAGTCAGCTAATTCAGATGCTCCTAGAGTTGAGAAGGGAATCCTTCTGTGGATGGAGCATGGGAACCTGGGTTTAAAGTAAAAAAGATGTGGTTTTGAGTCTTTCTTTCACTGTTTGGGCATCCAATTTGTTTGTGGATATGTTTGATACTTTCTGAGATAGACTTCCCTTTACATGTTAAAATTTGTTATTTTCTTTTGAATTACCAAATACTGAATCTGTTGTTGAACTTGGGCCATTCCTTGTTGATTGGGTACAGAAAGCTGTTCTCTCGGTACTAGCAAATGTGTGTGGTGAAAATCTGCATCAGAAGCCTGACAAGGGAAGAAAAAGGAAGAATATTAACACCGTTTCAGATATTATTATGAAACAATGTCGTAGTGTGCTACGTCGTGCTGTTGCTGCAGATGATGAAAGAGTTTTCTGTAATTTGCTGGGAACAACACTGTTGAACTCTAATGATAATGAGGATGATGGTATTCTTGGATCACCTGCCATGGTATCTCGCCCTTTGGATTTTAGAACCATTGACCTACGACTGGCTGCTGGTGCCTATGGTGGATCACATGAAGCTTTTGTTGAGGATGTTCGTGAGGTATGTTTTCTTTTTCCTGTTTCCATTAGGTTTTACTGGGCAATATTTCCCCAAATCTTTCACTATTTAACCTTGCGAGACAGAAAAAATAAAGCTGAGTTACCCAATTTGGTCTCCTTGAATGTTCAACATTGCAAACTGAGCAAGAAACTGTAAACAACCTGATCAGGTTGTTTTAAGGTGGGTATAGTTTGGAGGTCAATGTTTTAGGTCAAGGGAAAACTTGGAGAGGGTCACATTTTTGATAAATTACTGTCAATCATATTATTATTATTAAAGGAAATAGAGTGCACTGAATGATCATTTGTATATTCCTATGAGGCAGCTAGTCTCAACTAACCGCAAATTACAATTGCATTCCATTTACAGCTCTTTACCCCAATACGTCTGGTCACTCATAGCCCCTTGTTTGCCAATCCATTGGCCAGAGCATTGGCAGACCGGTGTATCATTTACTTTTGCTTTCAGCTTCCAAGACATACCCTTAATTCCATCCTGCCAACATATCTGTGTTGGCCCTCCTACATGGGTTGAGATTGGCTAAACAATTAGGCTTCTATCAGATTGAAGTAGAAGGGGACTCAAGGTTGGTAATAGGATGGATGCATGAAGGAAATTTGGGGGTAATGACAGAGACAGGCTATGAGAGAAATTTGGTGGCTGACAAGGGAAATTGATGAAAATTTTATCTGGGTTAGAAGGTCAACCAATGCCTTGGCTGATGGTTTAGCTAAACAAGGATCAACCAGGGTCGACTTCTTTTGGGCAGCATTGTAATGGGGGGACTGGTTTGTGGGGTTCAGCATTCCTGTTGGGGTGCTTGTTCTATATTTCTTTTAATTAATCAATGAAAGTTCTCCTTCAACTAACAAACTTCTGATGTTCATAGTTTTTGATCTCTTAAGCCCATGAAGAATCACTCATGTTTCTACCTGAAGAATAAAAAATTGGAATTTTCTGAAATTTTATGTATTTCTGTATTTTTGGAAAGTAGGGGTATTTTCTTCATTTTACATTTTTTTCTGTGGAGTCTAATGATATGTTACTGATTTGTCTAATTATAGTTTGTTTATGTTTAAAGTTTGAGTTATTGAATAGTAGAATAAGTGTTATTGAGTCTTCTTTGATTGAAAAAGGAAAATGGCAATTCAGTTCGAGTCTACAGTCTAAGAGTTATTGAGTCTTCTTACGAGTCTACAGTCTATAAATATGTATAGGCGTTTTACAAAAGGATCAATAAAGTTTGTTGAGTTTTCTTGAGCTTATGTTAATTATGATGAGTGATTCCCATACCCTGGAGATTTTAGGCACCCTGTGAGTGATGAGTGATCCCGGATATTCTCTCTCTTCTTTCTCTTTTTTATTTTCTTTCTTATTCCCTTAAGAAGCTATTGTAGTCATCAACAGCCATAGAACTGGAAGATGTGGTCCTACATCACTGCCTTATTGGAGTCTCCAACCATTATTGGTTCTGACTTGCGCTTTTTGTAATATTCTCACCATCAATGGATCGCTTCAGATTTTATTGTTACATGCAATAATATATCATATGATACATGTTTTTGCCCTCAAGCCAGGTCGGGTTGCTTTAGGTCTTGACCCAAGATGAACTTGACATCAGATTAGGTTGTGAATCCCCTGCCCAAATACCATTCTGAATTCTGGGATGCCAGACCTCTATTTGTCTGTAAGCTTGTAGCAACACACACACAATGCTAACTGGGATGATCAATTTATGAGCTTGCTCTTAATTGATACTGTTAGAGTTGGTCGATTTAGGGTAACTTGGTCTTTTGATTATAGTTTAAGTAGTGTAGTGGTGTGGCAATTCTGTTTTGTTTTTTTTTTTTTTAATTTTTCTTGTCCCATAATTAAGTAGGGGTATATTTGACTTTGTACCCTTATTTTAATATAATAGAGATTATGGTCGACTAGGAGGGTTTTGACTCTCTAGTTCGACAGCTTCCTTCCTTCCTTCTTCTTCTTCTTTCTCTTTCTCTTTCTCTTTGAACAGGACTTATCTGAACCACTAAAACATGGTATCAGAGCCGTAAATAAAAGAGGAAGGCTGTGATCTCAAGTTCCTGGACCTGTTATCTCTTCTATTCTTCTTTTCTCCTTTTCCTCTGAGGTGCGACCTCAGTTACACAGGTAGAAGGCTGTGGCACACCTAGTAGAAGGCTGTGGTACCCCTTTTTGGTGATCCAGGACTGCCACAATCCCCATTACAGGTGTTAGGAAGGTGTAGCTGCCCTAGGTGAGTATTTCTCAGATTGCTGTCACCATGAGTGACAACCCTAGTGGTTGTGTGGTGGTGTTTGTTGTGTTGCAGATCCTCTATTGAGCAGTTTCAAGAGGGTTTTTTTTCTTTGTTTGTGAATAATAGTGTGGTTAACAATAGTGGTGTGAGAAATCGTTTTTTTTTTTTATGAAGGAGATGGCTGAATGTGTCTGAATGGTGGTATATGTTAGTGTTTTTTTTATTGTGGCTGGTTGAGAAAGTGCCATAAGGTGATATGCATGCAACAATGTTGATTGAATGGCAGAATTCTTTTTTTGTTGGTTGATAATTCAGAACTAGGAGAAATCTAGTGTATTGAGAACATAATGGCAGCAACTGGAGATGGTGGTGGTGATCAGAAATCTAATGTGGTGATCCCCTCAGACTATTTAGGTGTGCAGATGGCACCAATTAAAGTTAATGGCGAAAATTATGTTCCATGGGCCAAGTCGGTGGGGGGTTTTTTCTCAAGGCCAAGAGGAAGGTGAAACATGTGAAGGAGGATAACCCATTAGTTGACTTTCCAGGGTTTGATGATTGGGAACAAGAAGTTGCCCTAATCATGACATGGCTATGGAACAGTATGAAACCCAAGATAAGTGTAAACTTTATGCTCTTAGATACAACCAAGGAAATATGGGAACAATAGTGTTCTAAAAGTGCAAGGCGCAGGGGTCAATTTGCGCATGAGGTGCAAGGCGAGGCGCATGCCTTTTTAAGCAAGGCACAAAAATAAAAAATAAAGGCTTAAAAATAAAAAATAAAAAATGCCAAAAAATTAAAAAAAAGCAAAAAATCAGAAAATCATTAAACATAATATAATAAAAATATAAAATTTATTTTTAAAATAAATGTTTTAAAAACCTATTATCTAATATTAAAATACATAAATATAACATGTAAACCATATTCAAATGAGAATTTAAAAATAAATCAAATATATAAAACATTTTCAAGCATATAAAACCCACAATCTCTTTTTTTCTCAATTGCATTACTTCAAGTAGCAAATGTGATGTAAAACATATTACTTTCTTGATTCTACGGGCTGCCTTTGTACCACGCCCCTCGAGGCAAGCCCAAACAAGTTGACGTTAGGTCTTAAATTCTTAATTCTCACACAAAAAATAATGATTTTATAGTTTTAATTGCTTTTTAAGAAGACATTTTATTAGGATGAATGAATGAACAACATTACCAAGTATAGGGTTCTCGAAGCTTCGGGACAGGATAATACTACGAGAGTGTATCAACTCTATCAGGAGTATTTTAATTTGTAGTAAGGAAATCAAACCCTTGAAGAGTATTATGCCAGTATGAGGAACCTCAAAATGAATTCAATTTCTATTATCCCCTAGCTTCAAATGTTAAAATTCAGCAACAACAAAGGGAGCAGCTTGATGTAACCGTGTTCTTACTGGGGCTGAAATCAGAATACGAACTAGTTCGAGCACAAATATTGGGAGGTTCTGCTCTTCCTACACTTGAGGAGGTTTTTGCTTGGCTTCATGAGATTTCCTTGAGATTCACAGAGAGTACCACAACGTCTGACGGATCAGTGTTTGTTGTAGCGAGAGGTGGACATGGCAATGGAGGGGGGGCATGCATTTCAAGGAGGCCGTGGTAGTCCCATGTTTGGATGTGGTGGTGGAGGTCATGACTTAGGGGGAGGCCATGGTAGAGGAAGAGGGCACACTACTAGAAAGTGTACACATTGTGGCAAAGACGTACATACGATTAATTTCTGTTATTATCTACATGGCCCACCCTCTACATGGGCTAATCATGAAGTTGCTAGTGGTGGTGATGTGAGTGATAACCAACAGATAGATCAAACACCTTCCACATCTACATCTGCTTCCGGGAAGGAGATGATGAATGCACCACAAGATGAGTATGAGAAGTTCCTTCAGGCCACTTGACAACATAACACTGTTACTCTTGCACACTCAGGTATGGCCTGTCTGGCATCCAAACCTTCTCACTGGATTATTGATTTTGGAGCCTTTGATCACATAACTGGGACTCTAGGTGTGTTTTCTTCCCTCTCTAAAACTTCCACATCACAAATTGCTACCCTGGCTAATGGTTCTTCCCCCATTTGTGGTGTTGGTAATGTTGACACTGCATCACTTTCTTTATCATCTATTCTATATGTGCCTAAATTTCCATTCAACCTTATGTCTATTAGTAAATTAACTAAGGCCCTTAGTTGCTCTATCACTTTTTACCCTTCATCTTGTGTTTTTCAGGATCTCAAGACGGGGAAGAAGATTGGTGGAGGGCATGAAGCCGGTGGATTGTATTATTTTGACGGTGGTTGATCTTCAGTTGCACTTCAAACTTCCTTGACTCCTCTCCAATGTTATTGTCGACTGGGACATCCATCTCTCAAGGCTTTCATGCTATTAGTTCCTTCTTTGAGTCATCTGTCTTCTTTGTAGTGTGAATTGTGTCACTATGGAAAACACCTTCGGGTTTCCTTTAGTCCTAGGGTTAATAGTTGTATGTTGAGTCCTTTTGCTTTAGTCTATTCAGATGTTTGGGGTCCGATTAAAGTTGAGTTCTATAATGGTTACAAGTATTTTGTCATTTTTATTGATGATTGTTCAAGGATGACATGGATTTATTTAATGAAAGAAAGGAGTAAATTGCTTTCTATTTTTAAAAAATTTCATGCTGAAATACATACGCAATTTGGTGTTCCAATAAAAGTTATTCATTCTGATAATGGCCAAGAATATTTTTTTAATTCCTTTCAACAATATTTGGAACAACATGGCATCATTCATTAGACTTCGTGTGCATCCACCTCTCAACAAAATGGGGTGGCTGAACGAAAGAACCGTCATCTTCTTGAGATTGCTCCGTCTATCCTTCATCATATGAACGTTCCTAAACGTTTTTGGAGTGGTGCAGTGTTTACAACTTGTTTTCTCATTAATCTGATGCGCTCCTTCATTCTTCATGTTCGGTCTCCCTTTTCTATTTTGTTTCCCACTTTGTCCCCTTTTCCATCAACTCCCGGGTGTTTGGGTGTATGTGCTTTGTTCATAATCTGGGCCTTGGTTTAGACAAGCTGGATGCACGCTCTATTAAGTGTATCTTTTTTGGCTATTCTTGGACCGGAAAAGGGTTTAAGTGTTACAATCCTATCACTCGAAAGTCATTTGTTTGCCCTGATGTCACTTTTTTTGAGTCCGTGCCGTTCTTCTTGGGTCCTGATGTATCGTCCTCTTCACCATTGATCCCTCTTTCTCTTCCAGTTGGGGATCCCAATCTGGTTGTTCCTGTTATGTTTGACCCTTCACCTTCTCCAGTGCATATTCCTATTGAACGACCACCGATCTGGCACGTGTATACTCATCGACAGACATCAGCACCTCCTCCAATTTCTACCTCCTCTGTGGATCCTATAGTTGCCTACATATTCTGAACTTGATCTTCCCATTGCATTACAGAAAGGTAAACGTAGTTGTACCTTACATCTCATTTCCAATTATGTTTCTGTATCTCACCTTTCTACTTCACATCGCTAGTTTGTTTTTTTGTTGTCCTCTATATCTATACCCAAGGATGTCCAAGAGGCTCTTACTTCACTGGGGTGGCATCAAGCAATGGAGGAGGAACTCTTTGCTCTTCAACACAATCACACGTGGGAGTTCCCCACTCTTCCTCCTAGTAAGCATGTTGTAGGTTGTAAATGGGTGCATACTATTACATATTTACCAGATGGCCGTGTGGAATGGTTGAAGGCCTGGCTAGTTTCTAAAGGTTATTCTCAGTTTATCGGGTGGATTATATGGAAATCTTCTCCCTTGTGGCTAAGATTGGTTCAGTTTGTGTCTTGATTTCCTTGGCAGTTATGTATGATTGGCTTTTGTTTCAGCTTGACATTAAAAACCCCTTCCTCCATGGCGACCTTTTGGAGGAGGTCTATATGGAGTAACCACCAGGGTTTGTTGCTCAGGGGGAGGATGGTAAAGTGTGTAGGCTCAAGAAGGCACTTTATGGGCTGGAACAATCTCGTTGTGCTTGGTTTTGGAAGTTCAGTGAAGTGGTGAAAAATTTTGGAACGAAACAATGTCAGGTCGATCACTCAGTGTTCATCTATGATTTTGAAGCCAAAAAGGTTTTATTAGTGGTTTATGTGGATGATATAATCATAACTGGTAGTTACAGATTGGGGATTGACAGACTAAAGGCTTTTCTACAAGAACATTTCCAAAAAAAGATCTTGGGGAGTTGAAGTACTTCTTGGGTATAGAAGTTGCTAGGTCGAAGCAAGGTATAAATTTGTGCCAAAGAAAATATGTTCTTGATTTGTTGGAAGAAACGGGATTTTTAGGTGCAAAACCAGTTGAAACACCCATGGAACCAAATGCTAAGTTGAGCAGTGATGAAGGTGAAATTTTTGATGATCCTGGGAAGATATAGATAGTTAGTGGGGAAGCTGAACTACCTAACCATTACCAGACCAGACATCTCCTTTGCTGTTAGTGTGGTGAGCCAATTTATGTAAAACCCCCGAGTACCTCACTGGGATGTAGTTCTTAGAATTGTATGGTACTTGAAGGGAGCTCTAAGTCGTGGTTGTTGTACAAACCAGGGGAAGGCTTGAGATAGTTAGGTATATAGATGCAGATTGGGCAGGCTCGGTGTTTGACAGGAGATCCACTACAGGTTATTGCACGTTTCTTTTAGGAAATCTGGTGATGTGGAAGAGTAAGAAGCAAACTGTTGTGGCAAGGAGTAGTGTTGAAGCTGAATACAGGGCCATGGCACACACCACATGTGAATTAGTATGGCTAAAAAATCTTCTGCAAGAAGTTGGATTCTTAATGAGCAAACCTATGAGATTGTACTGTAACAACCAAGCTACAATCCACATCTCATCTAATCCGGTTTTCCATGAAAGGACAAAACATATAGAGGTTGATTGCCATTTTGTGAGGGAGTAAGTCCTTACTGGAGAGATAATCCCAGAACACGTGAGTTTAGGTGATCAATGGGCATGCTTGTTCACAAGAGGTTTGAGTTCAGGGAGAGTAACAAGCTGGGATTATATGACATATTCTCCAGCTTGAGGGGGAGGGTTAGAGTTGGTCGAGTAAGGGTAACTTAGTCTTTTCATTATAGTTTAATTAGTGTAGTGATGTGGCAATTCTGTTTTTTTTTATTTTTTTTATTTTTCTTGTCCCATACTTAAGTAGGGGTATATTTGACTTTGTACCCTTATTTTAATATAATAGAGATTATGGTCGACTAGGAGAGGAGGGTTTCTTTCTCTTTGAACAGGACTTCTACAGATAGCATTGGCCATTTGATGTGTTAGAAAGATTGATAATGGGTTGTCTTTTAGATATTCTTTTTGCTTCATTTTACATGCTTTCTTGGTAGATTTCTATAATTGTAGCTAATTTTTATGATGCTGATGTCTTGCAGACAGCTTTCTGTAGTCACTTGTCCAGATATCAAACTAAAAATTGGACATTGAACATGTTTCATTTTTCTAATTTGGCAGGTCTGGCATAACATACGGACTGCATATGGGGACCGGCCTGACTTAATGCAGTTGGCTGAAACATTGTCCCAAAATTTTGAATCATTGTATGAAACAGAGGTCTGTATCTGTATCTATAATTTTCAACTCTAACCATTACATAAATCTAATTATAGCACTCCCATTCATGGTGCAAATTTAATCTTTCTTACATGCATGTGTGTGTGTGTGCGTATAACTTTAATGTGATTTTATTATTTGGTTGGCTTATTACTTGGTGGGGCATGTTAGTTCCTTTTCTCCCACTGCATGGGATCTGTTATCTGAGTGCAATGGGAACTCTATTTTACGAGTCCTGCGCTTAGCTGGATATAATAGCAAATTGTAGAACATAACATCATTCTTTCCATGAATCATGACATAGATTCCTGCAAAGACAGGACCTCATTGCCTCTCTATATTGGTTCTATACTTTGGCCTTTTGCCACCATTAATTGCCCTCTAAACCTTTAAATGTTGTTTTATTACTTGGTTTGTGAGTTACCTTGGTATTTATATGATGCAGGTTCTCTCCCTTGTCCAGAAGTTTGTAGAAATTGCAAATCAAGAAAGTTTGAGTACAGGAGGAGGAAAGGAACTGGATGATGTTCTTGCATCTGTGAATGAGATTCCAAAAGCTCCTTGGGATGATGGTGTCTGTAAAGTCTGTGGCATTGACAAGGATGATGACAGTGTCCTGCTATGTGATACTTGTGACTCAGAGTACCATACTTACTGCTTAAATCCTCCACTTGCAAGGATTCCTGAAGGAAACTGGTATTGTCCTTCTTGTATTTCTAATCAATGTAAGACCCTAGATACATCACAACATACCCAGATCATTAGCCGGTGGCGACAAAAGAGATATCAAAGTGAGGAAACCCGCCTTTTTTCAGAGGCATTGGTTCATTTAGCAGCTTCAATGGAAGAAAAAGAGTACTGGGAGTTCAGTGTGGAGGAGGTTTGCTCTTAGGAACCCTATTTTTAGAGATCTTTATACTATGAATTTGATGTCCAAGGATGCTATGAGTTTTCTCATGTCCTTTCCAGCCTTATATGATGTCTTATGCACATGTCCACTTCTTTGGTAAAAACTGTGTTAATTTAGTCAACAACATTGTTTTATTTCATGCAAATCCAGTGGTTTTAAAATGCTTTGAGACGAATGGATGACCATAACAATAACTTGTTTTCCATTCTTCTTCTTTCATCTAGTTCTTTAGTTCTTTTGAAAATCGCCCCAGCATGGGTATCTGTAGTCCCATGGTGTGGAATTTCCTTCTATTTACATTCATTGGGTAATCCTTTGTTTTCTTTCTGGTTTTTCTGCTTCTGATACACACTCATAAGGCTTATCCTTGTCTTTACTTTTTTAGTTGCTCATGGTCTAGGCTGATATAATCCCTACACTTTTTTTAATGCCATGTCTTGACGATGGTACTGGTATCTGCATCAGCATTAAATCCTTTTTTGTTTCTCCACACTTTGCACTTAGCAGTAACCTCCTCCTCCCCCCTTTCATGCAGAACAAACTTAGCTCTCTTTGTTTCCCTTTACAATGATCCCTTCCTGGGAGGCTTTTTGTAACTTGGCAATAAAATTCCTTCTTAAAATCCATTTCTTTTGTTTTGCATAAAACATTTTCTGATTCCACTATTAATTATTGATTTTAATATATATATATATATATATATATGAGCAATATTTTTCTTGAACTGTAATGTGAAAAGACCAATGTGAAAACTGTTGTATATAGAATTTTTCCTATCTGTGCTTACTTTTCTACTTTTATTTTTGATGTCAATTTAATGTTCTTTTCCTTTTGGGCTTTTTCTTTACCTTGGATGCAGAGGGTTTTCTTGCTAAAATTTTTATGTGATGAGGTGCTGAATTCAGCTGTTGTACGTGAACATCTTGAGCAATGTGCTGATATGTCAGTAGATCTGCAGCAGAAATTGAGATCTCTTGCTGTAGAATGGAGAAATATTAAGTTCAGAGAAGAAATTCTGGCTGCCCAAGCTGTAAAAGAAAACATGAACACACGTAGTGGAGTTGGAGAACCTGGAACGGAAGAAGGGATAGGCACTGTGCTTGCAAACCATGGTCAAGGGAATGGTTTGGGTAACAGATCCAATTACAATACAGCTTTCTCTGGAAATTCACTTCAGCTAGAAGATCGTCCTGAGGGGAGTAGACAAAACGATATTAATAAGCCCCCAGGTTGGTTTTATTCAAAGAGCATTACAGAGAAAAAGTGTAGTGATATTAGAATTATAAAGGTTAAACCTGGAGATACTGGAAGCCACATCAAAGATTTCCATTATGCCATGAGTAACAATCTACAAGGAAATCCTTTTCCCAGCATGGTTTCTACTAGAGGAGATGAACCAAACTTACAAACTAAGCAGCCTCTGTCAACTTGTCAACAACAAGAAACCAATAACTTGGGTAAAATGAATGGTATTAGTAATATGAATGGAAAGCATGAGCTGGACACTGAAAGGAATGGTCATATGCTGCCTGTTCCTGAAGTTCTACAAGGATCTAGTTTTTTATCTGATACCAGGAGAAGTCACACGGCTGAACATTTTCCGATGCCTGTGAGCTCAGGTGGTACACTTCCTGGCCATCACTGTAGCATCCAACCTGATCCTGAAGAGTCACAAACATGCAACCTTGAACTGAACTCCCTGAAGAATGAGATTTCACTTTTGCAGGACTCCATTGCCAGTGTAGAATCACAGTTTCTCAAGGTATCCATGCGAAGAGATTTTTTGGGAAGGGACTCTGCTGGGCGACTCTATTGGGTTTTAGCAAGGCCTGGTCGACGTCCTTGGTTGGTTGTTGATGGGAGTGCTGTGGTGCAACAGAAACAAAGAAAAATGGAAGAACAGTGGGATTCATTTGCAAAGAGTTCAACTTTGCGGAATAATGTTCCATACCAAGATAGTCACCTGAGTTCAAGAGGCACTAATGGTTCCTGTCCACATGCATATGAACTTAATGACTTATTTCACTATTCCTCTTCCTGGTTTGCCTATGAATCTGATGCTGAAATTCAGGAACTTATTGGGTGGTTAAAAGCCAGTGATCCAAGAGAGAAAGAACTGAAAGAATCTATTTTGCAGTGGCAGAGACTAAGGCCTCAAGACTCTCATCAGTCTGGAAATCCTATTCAGAATGACTCTCAAACTACTCCACCAAAGTCCTTAGATAGTGAAAAAGCAGCGGCTGTTGATTGTCTTTTTACCAGGGCTCTTACATTGCTGGAGAAGAAGTATGGTCCTTGCCTGGAGCCAGAAACCACTGACATCCCTAAGAAGCGGGGAAGGAAGGCAAAAGTAGCTTATGAGGAAAGAATGTACAGATGCGAGTGCCTAGAACCTGTATGGCCTTCTAGACATCATTGCCTTCTGTGCCACCAGACTTTTTGCACTATTGTGGAACTTGAGGGGCATAATGACGGAAAATGCAGTTTGGTATCATCTGCCCCTGACAGCAACAAGGAAAATGATGATCTCTTCAAGGGGAAGGGGATTACATGGCTGGGTTGCAATGAGGAAGTGGATGTTACTGATCCGTCAAAGATTAGGAAGTTTGAAATCAATTCTAGGCTTATTAAATTTCAAAGAAAGGGGGTAGCATGCCCATTTGACATCGATGACATCAGTAGAAAGTTTGTCACTACAAACTCTAACAAGGATTTGGTGCAAGAAATAGGACTCATTAGTTCAAATGGTGTTCCTTCATTTGTCCCATCTTCATCTTCTTATCTCAGTGATCCCGCACTAGTGTTAGTCCCTACTCAAAAGGATGAAGCTGATCTGGAAGCTGGGCCTGCAGAAAAACAGCAACTGTTTTCATTTCAAGAGAACAACATTGCAGCTGATATGAACCATAATGGGATTGTCCACAACTCACCAAAAAGATGTGCTGCTACCGGCAGCAATGAGGAGCTTCTAAAAACAGATGGATCCATATCCAAATGTACTGATGATAGAGGTACTCAATCTTGTTTAAATAATAGAACTCTAGACCCTGAGACTGGTCACTGCTGCATAGTTCCTGAGTCCTCACTGAGGCCGCTGGTGGGAAAAGTTTCTCAAATTTTAAGGCGCCTTAAGATCAACTTACTTGACATGGATGCTGCTCTCCCTGAAGAGGCTCTCAGACCATCGAAGGGGCACCTGACAAAGCGATGTGCCTGGCGTGCATATGTTAAATCTGCAGAGTCCATATTTGAGGTAAGCTGATTTCATTAGTATTCCATCATTTATTTCACAATCAAAATTCATATAGCTCATCAGGGTTTGTTCACTGTTTGCCATCTTTCTGTATTTGATCTGTGATTTGAATAGACTGTCCATTCAAGAACATTTCTGCTGATAACCTGTTAGCTGCTATTTGATATTGCTGCTGTTTACAAGGAATGACCAAATTGCCTTGTATCATATACTTAAAGATAGGGCTGTTGATAGAATGTTAAAAACCGACCAAAATGGACCGACTTGACCTGACATAGTGGGTTCTAAAAAAGCTTGGTTTCGGCTTAGAAAAAGTTATAACCCAAAGGCTCAGTTTGGTTGCGGGTTATGGTTTTGTAACCTGAAATAAAACCGACCTGATCTGACATATGTATCAAAATCCCCAGACTCTCTTCATGTTTTTTGTTTTGTTAGTTGAGTCAAGTTTTCAGCCCCTAACCCGCCTCCCTTTTCTCTAGTCTATTGTGTCAGGCTGGCTCCAACAAAAAGACAAACTAAAATGTAAAAAGCCAAAAAAAAGTCATGCGAATGAAATGACAGTTTCATATTAACTTACTAACAGGTGAAAATGAGAAAATCTGAGCCATAAATGCTGGGACTGGTGCTATACTTGGACAGACAAGGGAGGATGCGTGGTGATGATTTAATTCCTTACCGTCCAAAACCCGAAAGTGGGCAGTTTAATAATTCCTTTTCTAACATTTGCTAAGAAAAAAACTAAAAATGCAAACAATTTTTTGTGTTAGTGTCCTGTTTTCAAGCCATCTCTTTTTAAATTTCCAAGTATTGTAGTGGGACCCACGTGGTTTAGTAGTTTTCCTGACGTGTTTTTTGCTTTGAAATTTCCGTTGGTTGAATTAGAACTGATTAAACTGTCCAACATTTATGTAAACTGAGAGTTTTGGTTTTAATGCCAGTTGGTCAGTTTCAGTTTACATAAAAATGAATCCAATATTTTCAACCGAACTGACCCATGTACAGCCCTACTTAAAGAATTAATTAGTTTGGAGGGTAAATCTTTGGAGTATGGTGGATAGAATCTAGCTTCATACGTCCATGTAGATCATGGTCATGTTTGGTTCTATTCTTGGGCATAGCTATGTTGAATGCCAACCTGATTGGTTGGATGATTCCATCAACCTAGGCTTCTTTTTAACACCATTTACCACTTCCATCAATCCAGGCTTCTTTTCAAATCTATTGACTGGAATTGTTGTTTGTAATATTCAAGCTGACAGTTTTCATATAGAAGGAACAAGAGTTTTCTGGAGAAAGTGCAAATGAAAATAGATCACCCTTCTACCAATCTTAGTTATTGACAATTACTAGTCAAAACAAAAAATCTAAGTTATTGAACAATTTTTGGTCATTTAGTTTTCTCCTGTATGTTCCTTAGAATTGTGTGAAATTTGCAGATAAAATTATTATCATTATTATTTATTATTTTTTCAGATAGTTCAAGCAACTATTGTATTTGAGGACATGATCAAGACAGAGTACTTGAAGAATGGTTGGTGGTACTGGTCATCACTATCTGCTGCAGTCAAAACCTCAACTCTTTCCTCCCTTGCTCTCCGCATATACACACTTGACTCTGCCATTGTGTACCAGAAGGCTCCATCCAATTTGGATCCAACAGACATTCCTAAGCCAAGCAGCAAACCAGGCAAGAAAAGGAAGGATATGGATGGTTGATCCCAAAGCATGCACCTCCTGTTCATGGGGAATCTGTCTTATTCCTTGTGGCAATGTGAGGCAGCAGAAGGCCCTGCCTGGTACGATGTAAAGGAATTCTCCTAGTGCTGGGTCAAATGGGTATCGAGGATAAAGACTGAAGAAAGGAATTTTCTTACACTGCTGCCTCATGTTTGTACATAAAGAGCAAACGGCTAACAAACTAACATGGATGCTGGATCAGAGTTCATTGAAGTGATTCCCATGGGGGAGTTCAGAAGCTGAGGGAAGACGATGCATGGGAATGCTTCTCATTTTGAATCGGCTGCCACCACAAAGCCGAGAATGGTCACTCGGAGGGAAATGGGAAGATTTTTTTCCACAAGAACCAGATCCACGTCCACATAGGAAGGGAACCAATGTAAAAAAAGGGGAAAAAGATGAAGCTGAGCAAGTGCAGTCAATATATTTCATTCTTTATATATGTTTTGCTCTTACCTCTGGTTTATTCTTTACCCCCTCATAGCTGGTTTTCTTGATGCCAATACTGAAACTTTGGTGGTGACTGCCATGGTTTACTGTTCAGTAACAGGTTCGTGCATATTCACTGCATTTTTGCAGAAAAATGCGGGCACGGTCAACTACTGGAGACAACTCACAACTTAACTGATCTAATGGTCCTGGGATTAGTGCCTACTGCCCAGAACTATGGGAGTCCATCCATGCAAATCGTGGATCATTATGTTAGAGAGCAAATCTGAATTCTGAAATGGGATAGCGCTTGATCTGTCATCGCGGTCCAAAAATTTCTAATTCAGGTACTTGATCAAATGTCTTAAGTACCTGAGTACACAGGGGCCATTAACAATAGTTGAAGTTGCTGAACTGAGTGATTAGTTACTTTCAGACTTTTAGTGGATAAAAAAATTAAAAAGGCAATATACATCTTTTGGTATAGCAATCAGCCCAACATCTTATTCAGCCATTAATGAGAAACGCAAGTAATAACTTATTCCCTAAAAGCTGTTTAGTCATTCAATTCAGCCGTTTCAGCCAAATATCAAATGTCCCTTTGATGCCACTATGCATTTAAGGTAGAAGTGACCTGTTATTTTTCTTGATGAAAAAATCCACCAAAATTTTTAAGAAATTAAAGGCCGTCTTTTTATACTTCTCTCTCTCTCTCTCTCTCTCTCTCTCTCTCTGTGTACTATATGACAAATGATGAAGTAATTTTGCACCCTTCCCATTTCCCGTGCAAGTGCAAGTGCAACCAAAATTGGGTTGGAGAATGAAGTTCAATTTTTTAACCATATAGTGCTATAACATATTAATTGGCCACGTCATTCCTCTACGTGGCATAATCATGTGGAGTCGTTTAGATAAGGAACCCGCTCCACCGTCATTCGTTGATCATATTTTCATCATCCCAATTATTGTCATCCGCTCTAGTCCTTTTCTTTTTAATTTTTTTTGGTGGGTACACAGCCTCAAATCTTGCTAGAGCTCCAATGACTATATTTCATGTGAACGCTGCAAGCATGTGAGATGATTTAGAATTTAAATGTTGTATGAAGAACTTGCATTGTTCTTTATGTTTTGCGACTATATATGATTCGGAAAAACTTATAGCCAAACAACTGGCATCATAAAAGTGATAATCGATCAGGTAGGTTTTTATCAAAATTAAAATTCATGGGAGGTTCTGAATCTGATTTGTCAAAGCCTTTGATATGTATGCTCTTTCATAATGACAAGCAAAAAATTTTTAAAATTTTCAACGACATCTATAATACCGGTGAACGGTTTAAGATTTCTCAATTCGGTGGCAGTATAGCTGCTGATTAATTGCAAAAGAGGCAGATGATCCACTCCCTGAAAACGAGGAAAAGGAGATTCCTTTAATTTCTTATTACATGTAATATTAAAATTAGGGTGGTTATGTAGATAATGAGCGACAATCAAATGGTAGGAAGTGTCATTGTATATTTACGTCCACTTTTTATTTAGTGTAATTGCTTGATCAACTAAGCATGAATATGAATGGTTTAAATTCCATTAAAATGGCTCACATTTGGTTTGGTGGTTGGTACTTGGTAGTTGATCCCTCTCACTGTTGAGATAAGCAATTCAACGATGTATTGATGTAGGAAATAGGTATCTTCTCTAGCTGACAAACATACGAAATGACGGTATTTCTGGTTCTTACTAAAAGAGAAAAATACTTATACAACAGAGTCAATTAGTCAAAGCAAAAGCTGATATAAGAAAAGTGAGGAAAGTAATTAATATTAGAACATCAATTTTTTTTTTATTATTTATTTATATAAATGGAACACCAAAGACAAACCAAGGCCCGTCTCTTACAATTGTTTGGGTGGATGATGATATCATTTGACAAATCAAACACGTCTAATGCTCTCTTTTATCCATTTTGGCTCACTATTATTTATAAATGATTAACCAGCAGTTTCTAGCATTTAGCCATTCAAACATGTGTGTACGTACTCTTGTTTGTGACTTGTATGGTTTAAATGCTCGGAACCACCCAAAAGATGATCATGCTCCTTGCTACCGACATAGCATCATTCTAATTATATAATTCAAAAAGCAAATAAAGTCGAGAGAGAGAGAGAGAGCCTACCTGGAGTGGTTGGCAAGGTGCGGGGGTTGGAGAGGCAGGCGGCCTTTGGGGACGACTTCCCGGTTTACTTACTACTCACAAAACACGGCTGAAAAGTGCTGTGAAGTTTGTGTGAGAAGTCATATGGGATTTTCTACTTGTCCACATAGTTGGAATCACCTGCCAATGCCAAAGGTGGGATCGGCCATCTATGACTATGAGATGTATGTATGCTGTCACATCATGTTGGAAGGGTATTGGAACAATTATTATCGGCAGCCGGCAGGTGATCGGGAGTCGGGACCCCTGGTGGTGTGAGGAGGCGTTCTCTGGGAGGAGCAAATCCCAAGTCGTGGGAGAATGGGGATATATGAGTATGATGACCATATCACACACCTGTTCACCTGTACAACAGACGCGACATGTCCTTGTATCTAATCTACCCTTCTAATCCATGGCCTTTTTTGCGTTGGATCTCCTTGGAAGATGATGAGATAGTCTTTACTACAATTGTTTTACTTTTACACTTCCGGTGAACGGTGATCCATCGTCCACCATGTACGTCATTCTTACTTTCAAATTGCACCCTTCAATATCTTAAGTCCAACCCTTGATTTTATTTATTCATATCTGTTACTACGTACAACATCATAGTCCATTGCCACCATGGAAGTTCAATTCAATCAAGTCAGTAAAGTCACTCACTCTTATATGTGAGCTATTTATTGATCTATGTCTGGTTTTGTTTGTGCGCAGTTGGTTTTGCACGACGGTCGGTCTTGTGCAACGATTTTACTTAAAACAGAGTTATGGTTATCATTTTTCAAGTATATGATTGCTACAAAGTTTGCATAAGTGTACCACTGTATATACATACACCAGTGTCTGTGACCAAATTGATGGGATCAAAAGTAAGTGAAACCATGGTTTCCCGACCATCGTTAGCCTGGATAGTCGGATCATTGGGCCTGAGAATCGTTCAACAATCGGTTTTATTTTACCTCAAACCTGGCCCCTAACTAAAAAACCATTAAATCAATCAATACTATTAACCTAGGTGGTCAAAACCCTCAACCCGCCCATCACAATAAACCATCCATTCGAATCAGACAATCAAACCGTTGACCCAGAAAAACGGTGGCCTCAACAATTCCGTTTCCGGGTCGTTTTTTAGAACCATGAGTGAAACCTTAATTTTAATTTCTCCCACGTCCATAATTTGTGTGAAAGAGAGAGAGAGAGATTGTGATTGTAATTTGTAAAGTAACAGAGGGAGAAGACAATACGAGCTTAAACTTAAAGCCCTAAACATGACAGACAACTACTCCACGTCCACGACATAAGAACGAACATATATAGTACATAAAAGTTACTGTGTTTCTGTCGAAGAAGATTTAAGACCAGACCCACCAACCCAACGCCTCGCCCGCTTCGTGGTGTTGCTGTTCAGCAACAGCAAAGACGTCGGAGAAGTAGCTCCGGTTATCGTCGCTGCCGTCGTCTTCCTCCGATTGCATGCCATCGATAGGGCCCATGCAATCTTGATATTCGTCGTCCGGGAAGTAGGAATCCCCGCTGTCCACTAGCTGTAGACCGGCATCCTCGTCCACTACTGCACTTCCCCCACTGCCAGTGCTCAGCCGGTCTTCCATCTTTACGGTTACAGAGACTGCTTCACCGTTGGAAGCAGCCAAAAGGGGTGGGTCGGCTTTCTGCCCCACCACCACCACCTCTCCCGCCGCTTCTTTAGCCTGCAGCTTATCATTCAAGAAGATCACCTGCAACCATGCAAGAGGAACCACACGTTGATCGGAAATTACTAAGACACCCTTCATTTAAATAGATTTTGTCACCAGATGGAAAGATGATACAGACATCTTTCAGGAAAAAGCAGGTTGGTATATTCGTCGATCAATTTTAAAACCATTAGTCAGAAGAACAGATTCTATTTTCTACAAATTTTACCACAAAGATAAAAAAAATAAAAAAAAAGGTAAATAAAAGACCCATCACCCCCTCAACGGCCAATGCAAGAAAAGAAAAGATTTGGGTTGGTGGTGGCCTGGCTATGAAATACGAACCCTCCATTTTTTTCCACCTTTCTTTGTACATCCTCAAAATGCCATAAACAAATTAAAGCCCCTAAAAGGATTTGATACTCAACCTCGGATTTGAGCTTTTCGTTCTCCTTGACAACGGATTCATAATCTGAGAGGAGTGAATCGTAAGAGGACTTGAGAAGATCGTAATCTCTTTCGAGCTGCTTAGTCTTCCAACGAGCTCGTCTATTTTGGAACCAAACAGCGACTTGTCTCGGCTGTAAACCGAGCTTCTTGGCGAGCTGGGTCTTTCTCTCCGGCTCCAGCTTGTTCTCCGCCTCGAAGCTCTTCTCTAACAGGTGAACCTGGACATAGCTTCCGCCAAATATTTCAACCCAAAACATATTACTTCTAACGAAAAAGTTGCAAACCAAAAAGATAAAATGGAAACGGGAGTGGGGGATTCTCGAGAATTTCTTCTTTTGATAAGAGGGAATTTTTTAACAGGA